TTTCCTATCTTACAGACTTGCTGGCTCTGAAGAAGAGGAGGAGGAAGGACAGTGGCAGCTGTATTTTAAGCTTTATTGCTTTTTGGATGTTGAGAATGTTCCTAAAGATGGAGTGGAGTTTGCTTTCATGTTTGAGCAGGTAAGCTCGCTCTGGGAGAATGATTTGGTTTCCAGGGTGGCAGAAGCACTCAGGAGTATACAGAAAACTCACTTACCTTTGTATTAGAAGTGGGAATGCTGGTTGGAACAGAAGAATTTAGTGTGCTGGCTTTTTGTCTGGAATCTACCAAGCAAATATACTGCAAAGTTCTCTAGGGAATAGGAGTATTAGAACAAATGCAAGAAAAATGAACACAGGCTTCAAAATACTGGAAGACCAATTTTAATAAAATGCTTTTAAAAATTATCTTTAAATTTAAGAGATACAGAAATTTGGATAATGGTTCAAGAAGAATCATTAAAAGTAGCTGCTTGAAGAACATAGGTGTAAAGAAAACAGGAAAATCTGTCTATCTGCATATCAGCTTGTAAGAACAGCATATCCTTGGGGTGTTACAGGAATTGACTAAAAAAACCTATCTTTTGGGCAATTTATTTTGATTAATAGAGAGGCACTAGAAGAGTACTAAAGAAAAAAGAAAAGAGAATGTAGTTCACAATATTTATCTGCTGAGTAATCTTTTTAAAAGTCACTATACCCCATAGCACAATGATGCTGGTTAAGCCAGAGATCACACCAGTATGAAATAACCTTGCAATTAGGGATGCAAAGCTAAACTGACTGGAGTACCCAGCTGTGTGATTTGTTCCATGTAATTAACACTTTGATCTAGCCTCAGAAAATTATTTAATGCATGTTAATGGAGGTCAGTGTCATGAAGACTGAAACTCACTGACAGAATGTCCAGGAAATGGTCAGGAACAAGGCATCATGGTATTCTGTAGCAACTCAATTCTACCATGCTCCCTGTTAACAAGGCTTTCAGTCTACACAGCTTTCAGTAGCAGAGAGTGGTGGAGGAGAAGCAGCAGTGGGAGAGTAGATGTTACCCAGACATTAGATGGATGTAGCAAAAAATCCCCTAAATATATTTCACAGAAAAATAGGCAAAGGGAAGCAAGAAGATTGGGGGAGACTCGAGGTGAAAGAGGAGTAGGTCAGAAGTGCTGCTGGTGTGCAGTGAGACTGAGGTCAAGAGTCTTAAGTTTATTACATCTAACACGCTGGTATTGAATATAATCTCCACACAGGAGCTGTAGCTGGTACAGCACAAAACAAATTGCCTCAATTTCAATCTCTGCCGTCTGTTCCAGACCTAAGAAGTCCTCACTGTAAGACTTTCAGGCCAGGATAGGGGCTCATCAGAGATCTCTGTCCTCTCTAGTTTGGAAGAAAGAGGTGTTCCCCCAACATTGACCAGTTGCAGACTTTGACTTGTTTATTATAATGTCTGCTCTGACCTGAATTATGTGTCTTCTTGCTGGGATTGGCTTTCCTCCTGGGATAGGCAGATGCCACAGGAATCTGTACACAGACCCAGCTGTGAATAAAGTGTGCTTCTGCTTTCTAATGACTTTGGGGGACGTTTTGTTTGTTTGTAGGCTCATGAAAGCCTCATAGATGGTCATTTTCCTGCACCAGAGGACACTCTGCAGCGCCTAGCAGCTCTACGGCTGCAGTACCTTCATGGAGACTATTCTAAAATAAGTTGGACCCTGGATGGAATCTACCCAGTTAACAGACTAAAATCCAAAATACTGCACTCAACAAAGAGCAGTGGCACTACCAGTCACACTCTGGAGAGGAGACGGACCAGCTTCCTTGAAGGGACGTTGAAACGTAGCTTCAAGACAGGCTCTGTAAAGAAGCAGAAGGTAGAAGAGGAGCAGATGATGGAGATGTGGGTAAAGGAAGAGCTTTCAGCTGCTCGGGCAAGTATAGCGCAGAAATGGACCAAGCTGCAGGGACTCTCCCAGCATCAAGCCATGGTGAAATACATGTCCATTGTAAAGGAGTGGCCAGGTTATGGGTCAACTCTCTTTGATGTTGAGGTGAGTGATGTATAAACTCATGTAACTGCTGCCAAGGAGAGGCATCAGTCTGGAGAACAGATACTGCTGTGTATATTACATTGCTCAGCAGCAGAAGGGAATTTCAGTAACTGGCTGCAAAAAGGCAAAAGCCTTAGTAAGCTTTGTGTAAGCCTGCAGTACCACACACCCAAAGAGGGGTGATGCAGAGAGCACAGACCAAGCAAGCTGGTGCATCCAGAGAGAGACAATGGATTAGAAGAGCAGTAGAATTTGGGAAATTTTTCTGCCCTTAAGGAGGTGGTGGCTGGTCAAGGCAAAATAAGACGAAGCTCTATTGTCCTGGCAAAAAGTGCAATCCTGTTCTGCAGCAGTACAGCAGAAACTGCTCAGACTGGGTCACTTAGACCACTGTGCTTAGCCTGGTAGAGTAGGAATCCACAGTTCCAGTTTTATCAGTTCTGTTGCTGCCTATGTGGATTACTATGGGAAGTTGTTTGCACTCACTATATCATCTGTAAAATAATAAGTGGAATATTAACTTCACAAATAATTTTAAAGTCTGATGAAAGCTGTTAGGTATTACAATTTTTTATTACTCAACTAGTATTTGACTCACAGCCATGTCACTTCTAAATTTCTTTGCAGCAGGAGCACCTACAAGATACCCTCTGGAAGAGCTGAAATGTCCTGTAGGAGCCAGAAATTTAGGGCTCCTCTTTGAATCAAAGATGATTTGATCTTCCACTGTATTTATGCAAAATTTCATGTTTCTCTTTCTGCAGTGCAAGGAGGGTGGATTTCCAAATGATCTTTGGCTTGGAGTCAGCACAGAGAATGTGTCTGTCTACAAACGAGGGGATCCTAAACCACTAGAAACTTTCCAGTATGAGCACATTGTATTCTTTGGAGCACCACAGCCTAACACCTTCAAAATTACAGTGGATGAGAGAGAAATGTTCTTTGAAACATCCCAGGTACATGAAAGCACAAGACTTGTTGTATGTGCAGTTTTACTAGCACTTCAGTAAAGCTCTAATTTCCATGGACTAGACAAGCTGATATGCAAGAACTCTTGCTGAATGGACTGGACAACCAAACAAAAAGATGAAGGGAGCTTAAGCCTAAAGTGCCATGGTACATGGTATCTCTTCTTGAATACAGGGATAAACAGAAAAAAAAAAAGGATGCTGGTTAGAAAGCGAAGAGGTTGAATGGTCTTCCAGTGCACTGGGAGTTTCAAATTTTGGGTGTCCATGAGTGTGCTTGGTTTTTTTTCATTCCCTTCCAGTATATGAATGGCGAGTTCACAAACTCAAAAAAAAAAAAAAAAAAAGTTTGGTAGCATTTAAGTTGCTTTTCCTTTAGCTACAAGCTTTTTAAGTGTTGCTACAACAGAGCACAAACTTGTCAAGCATTTCTTTCCTTACTCTCATGTTCACCGTTAGTGTTTCATGCAAAACTTATAGTGCCATGACTTTGGACCAGGGAATCCTTTCCTGAAAAATGTCTGGTATGCCTTAATGGAATTAGGTTTTTAATGTACTTATCCTCTATTACTGTGTTCTCTCTCTAGGTGGGCGAGATAATAAAGATCATGAAAGCATACATCAACATGATCGTGAAGAAACGCTGCAGTGTTAAATCAGCCACCAGTGTGGACAGTCACGCTAGCATCTGGACTAGGTGATACGAATGAACTGCCACGAGAGAGAGGCAGTTGTTATAGTGATTGGTGTTTGCAACTTGCCAGCACAAGTGTAGCAAAGATGTTTTTTAAGAACTCCACTTGACTGACTACTGTATTTAAAAACTGAAGTGACATCTACAGTACCCATAGGATTGGTACCTCTGCCCAAAGACACTAGACAACAACTGTTGTTAAATATTAATGGCCCAAAACTTGTTTTTTCCCCTGCTTGTTTGATGAACAGTGTACCTTACAGGAGCAATTTCAGAAGCATCCTCCTTCTCCTGCCTGTCTTCTCTGCTGCTTTCACCATTACCTGTCATACTGGCAGAAAAAATTCACAAGAATCATTTCTGCACTACAGAAGGCAAACTTAGGCTTCCTTATGAATTTCCAACATGCAGACATCTGGGATCATGGGATTGCAGCATGCTCTGCTAAAAGAGTATTTGTTTTTTATTTATTTTGCAAGTAACTCTAAAATATAAGTCACTATGGGTTTTTCTTCAGGTTATACTAATGATCTGATCTGGTCTTAAAAAAAAATTCCTTTGTATAGTTAAAGCCAACTAAGAGGTCAAACCATACATGAGAGAGCATTAAACAAACAAACAAAAACACCCAAGGTGATTCTTTACCTTCCAATATAATTTCACAGGTACACAACTGTAAAAAGTGGCACTTTAAGTTAAAATTCTAAATACTCCAACACAGGAGAAAATCTTTGGGACTAGCACCACTTTAATAGATCATCAGGTGCCATTCTGGGTACATTCCAAGCAGCACCTTTTGCCTAAAAATTAATGACTGCCTTTCACTTACACAGCTCAGGAGGTGAGATGGATTTAGTTGTGATTCCAGAAGAGCTGTTCTTCACAAACTCCAGGTTTTAGATGGAGGTCAGGGGTTTTTATGGTGAGCAGCATGCCTGCGCCAAGTTCCTTCTTTGTCTATATGGGATTTTAGGGTGACTGGGATCCCTGAACTTTAGTTTTAAGTGAACGGTTTCATACTGAGTGAAGAGGTGCCTAGATAAATGGTTATGGGCAAGAATTTAATTTCCTCTGTACTACTGTAAGCAGATGCCAAACCCCTAATCCTCCTCCAGGCTCTACTTGGAACTGCTCCCATCACTGAATCCCCAAATTCCCTCCCAGACTCCTTTAGGTCCCCAGTCATCAGCAAAACTTGAAAACTATGCTGTTTCACCAAAACAACTGCTTCTTGGAGGTTTTTGTAGCTACTTGCGATTTAAAGAAGCAGAATTTTTTTTTTTCTTCTCAGTGAAAGATGACAGTCAGCTTTAGTCTCTTGCCTTCAGAAACTTGATAATCATTATTTGGAACAGTATTTTATATGAGTCACATAATAAATTGGCTGCATTAGCAATCAAGAAACCTGGTGGCTAGCCATCTTCTGTGACCCTTGTCTACTCTTGGGATCCCAGAATGCAAAGGCCCATTCAGTTTCTTAATGAAACTGAAGAGCTGCATGTAACATGGGCCTTGTTCCACGTTTAAAATCAGATGTCTCCTTTTCTGAAGAAGCAGCAGCTAAGGCTTGTGAGCTAGGAAATAGAAATTTCATAGAAGAGAAAACTAGGAGTCAGTATGCAACGGGTTCCATTCCAATTCATCCTCAGATTGTGCCATGTCACTAATACTGTGTCGCAAAACGCTGTAGTTTTGAGGTTGACAGTTCAAGAAAAAACACTGTAAATAATCTGTGCTTTTCTCTCATTTCTACCGCACCGCAGCACTTGCGAACAGTCCACCTGCCACACAAACAGCCTAACAGGATAGTCACTACTGTGTATCATACATTCAACTGGAATTTTGCCTTAAATAGCTTTACTGAAGGATCCTCCAAACATCCCCTTTTTTGTCACAAAGAATAAAAAGCGAGCGGGTCACAAGTGAGAGAGAACAGGAATGCAGAGGCAACCTGAGAGGTAACACCTTGTATCAGTCTGTACACGGACTGGATCTCCTTATGTATCAGAACAGCCTTGATTGTCCCTGTCCTAACTCTGCACTAGTGCTGTGTTCTGGCTATTGGGTTGCTGCAGGCAGCTTGAACCCACTTGGGAATGTAACTCCCATTACTATTTGTTGTAATTTTGCTCATTTCTATTACAGAATTCCTTCTGCTGTCTTTTTTTAATTTGTAACTGGCTTTACAAGATTAAAGTTTAATAAATTATTGGATTGCACAGGCTCTATTTGCTCACAGACATTGTGTGCTCGTGTTAAGATGTTTACTTGTAGATCTAACACTCAGAACTTCTAAGTGAAAAGTAGGCATTAACAGTATGAGGAGACAATAGCCCTTCCTCTCAGAAGCAAATTTTGCCATTGTGGTGAATTATAGACAATAATTTACCACTACAATGGGGAGGTTTGTTTCCAGCTTCTGCTGCTCACACTGGGGCTGGGCTGCACCTTTTGGTCAGTGGAAGATGTCCCATGTGAGTTCAAGGGACTGGTTCTGAAATGGTTACTGTGGTGAAAGCAGAGCAAGGAATGGAGCACCTCCAAAGCCCCAGTCTGCAGGATCAGCTCCATCCCTTCTCTTCAGCACCTCCAAAGGCACTAATAACAGGAAATCACTTCCAGCTCAAGCTGCCAGCTGAATTTCTCTTACATAACCCAGGCATGGTGTTCACCTAAGAGCTGTTTTACCAAAGTGGCAAATCTGGATTGGGGGCAGCTGAGCTGTCAGCAACACAGACAGACTATCCTCTAGCAGACAAAAATTCCCTCAGTCCATACACTAATACAGAAACCAAGCAGTGATGCATAATCCTCATTAATGTGCTCTCATACATCCCTTGGTAAGATGTTTTGAGAGCCTTAGGACCCTAGAGATAGGTCTATGCAATGTCATCCCTAGCTGTTGACAGCTCTTCAGTTTCTTCATCCTCATCACCTTGCACAGTCTTTCCAGGTCTTTATTTGAGGCTGGAAATGCCTCTGCTTACTTCAGCAGTCACTTTTCTTTCCTCAGCTGTTATGTTCCTTTCTGTGTACTTCCAAAACCATGCCATCTCTGCCTCTCTGCTTAGGGTGCCTGAAGTCACGCACAGGCAGCTACCACTTATTTGGGTAGAGGAGGGTGTCAGAACTAAACACAAGCTGCTTGGCCTAAACATCTCTCCTGATCACCCCTCTTGTGATAGCACTCCTCTCAGTCACATCAGAGTCACATTCTATGATTGGCGTGTCTCCCCCCCTCGCTGCCTGCTGGGCTGCAACTCACTGAAGCTGCATTTTTTTCATGGTAGCAAACAGAGAGGCCAACCCCAGTTGCCACGGATTAAAGCAGGAGCTAGCTAGCTAGTCTCCCTTGTTTGCAGCTGTTTAATTTCAAACTCCACTTGCTTCATTTAATACATCACTATCATGACAACAAACATGCACCGTTTCAGTTCCAGCACAAATATGACCTGCATAAATTCATTTATGACCCTTGTTGCAGTGAATAACCACCCAAGGCAATGGCCAGCTAATGGCTTCTCCCACTCCCATTCCAGTTCTATCACCCTGTCAGTGCAATGTCCAGCCCCTGCTGCCCTCCACCCCAGTATTTCTCTAATAGTTAATTCAAGTTTGTATGTTCTAATGTTTGTTTTATATGAAACAGTTTCATGCCAATGGGTGTTAGACTTTGGAACAGGGTGCAATTTATAATCAGCGCCTACAGAGTAAACATAAAATGGTTTATACACAAAATCACAGCCCCTGGTAAGTTATAGCACAAGCACATGTATCTAATTATTAGACCAGTTTAACTGTAAACTTCAGCTGTTTATTTACACCTTGTTCTAAACCACACAGCCTTTCCCCATGTAGGCTGTACTTTGTGTCATTATGATGTGCATTGACTTCAAAGTGACATACTCCCCTTGGGCATTTAAGCAAATCCTTCACACCTGAATTCCAGCCTCCACTGTAAAATATAACCTTCTAAATTTGTGGACTGCAAAATTGCTAAGCTCTTATCCACATTTTATATCAGCAATTCCTAATGCTACAATTGGATATCCACTGTGGCCCCATGCCACTGTCAACACTGAGGTGATCACTGAGAACTTGATTGCCAGTAAAATTCATTTATCTCTACCCCTGCTTTAAGTGCTGCTCTTCAAGCAGGGCTGCACGCTGGCCAGCCTTTTCAGCCTCAGCAGGGAGGACTCCATCTCACCATGTACCTGGACTCTGCACCAGCGTTTAGGTCTGGATGCAGCCAAGAGCAAGTAAGTTACGTTGGGCAATTCCTGGTTCTTGCCAGACGTGCGCTGTCACCTGCTGCCCCGTGGGTCGGGCAGCCCACCCAGCTGCAGGGTCCAGCCGGCTGGTAGGGAGCCCAGCTCCATCTCCTGCTAACGCTGCACCTAGGGACACAGCCATGGCCTCCTGCAGCCCCCAGGCTCTGACCCCCAGCATGGCAGTGCCTCGGGCCTTCCCCGAAACGCTGTGATGGCTCAGGATTACCAACACAAACTTGTCCTTTCTGTAAAACTAAGCACCAGTAAATCCTATGTCACTCACTCAAAAAGGGACAGCTCATCAGTATAAACTCAACTGGTTCTGTAACTGATTAGGCATTGGGCACAGTTTTTGTAAGTAACAGAGCAGATGC